TTAAAATCGCGTCCTAAACTAGTCCAGGCAACGAAAAGGTATAGAGGGAATTGCTTAGAACACAATTTTTGACTTCGTGACTTTGTTAGGACTAGTTAGGAGGTAAACATATCAAAAGTCCCCGCCCGTAGCCCTTAAGCCTGGGGGAGGGGGGAGGCTTGAAGGTCCCATTTTTAGGTTTTTCGCATATATCTCGAAAACTATGCATCCTAGCGACATGAGACTTTCACAAAAGTGAAAGCTGATTAAATTTGCTACAAGTCTTATTCAGTCAAATTTTTAGATATCTTGTATAGTTTTCGAGATATCCGCTCTTGAAAGTCTGTAATTATGGAAAAAAAATTATTCCCATTTTTGCTCTATTTGACCGGATAACTCTTCAACAATGCACCCAAAAAATAAATGCCGGCCGTAGGGTTGTAGAGCATTAAATTATCTTCAATAATAGAAACAATTAGTAGTAGACGTATGGGAGCGGTACGGTGGGCACTAGGCCGCGTACTCAGCCCCCACGCGCGGGCCGTCCTGCGCACGTCTGTGGGGTCCTCGCGATAGCCCGGAAGACCCCTGCCGCGGAACCTCTGCAAGGCCGGGAGGCTGCTAGGTGCGGAGACGCGGAAGAATCCCTAAACGGGGATCCCGCGGCTTCGCACTAAGCAGCTTAGAGGGTGTTCGCAGGGTTTTTTAGCGGATATTATGCCGTATAGCGCCCGTAAGGGTTACGGGGTCCTCAGTGGGCAGCCACTGCTGGGGCTCGTAAGGCTTGCGGGAGCCAGGTGTGAGGTCCATAAGTAAAAAAGAAAGTAAATTAGTGTCATTAAGAAACTGTAATTATCTAATAATAATATCTGTAATAATGATATCCGCTCTTGAAAATCTGTAATTATAGAAAAAAAAAATGCTTTACATTTATGCTCTATTTGACCGGATAACTCTCGGATAACTCTTTAACGATGCACCGATGTCTAAATAGCACACATGCTCATTTTAGAATATGTACTTGTTGGCCCACTGACCAGGTTCTTCACACAATCCAGAAAATAAGTTTAAAAAAACTGCAAGAGTTAACTACTTTATGCAAAAAAGGTTATTATAAATTAGATGATTATTTAAATGATAAGATTGTCTGGTGTTGTATTGGTCCAGCTCAACACAAAAAGTAGTATTAAGAATGATTAAAATTATAAAACTGGACTTTCATTCATATCCTATTCATTCATATCCCACTTAAGTGACGACAGTCTTATTTACTTATTACAAGTGATCAACTCTATTATGGTTAATAACGAAATTCCTATGTCATGGAAAAGTCAGGAATTAATTCCCTTATTGAAACATAATAAACCTCCTGCAGATCCAAAGTCATATAGACCTATAGCGCTGGCTTCAGTTCTTTCTAAAATAGCAGAACACTTAGTTAAGAACAGATTGGAATGGTTCTTAGAAAGTAAAGCTCTTCTTGCTTCCAGCCAGTATGGCTTTCGAAAAGGTAAAAGCACCATGGATAGCATAGGCATTTTCACCACTGATATCAGATTAGCCTTCTCAAATAATTATTCCCTTCTTGCTGCATTTATTGATATATCTGGTGCTTACGACAATGTGGACATTCAAATCTTAAAAAACAAACTTATAAAACTAGAAGTTCCTTTGTTTTTGATCGATTTCATTATTAACCTTCTTTCGGAAAGATTGATAAAAATAGATAAGGGAGATGGCAATTTTAAGTCTAGGCTGACATGGAGAGGACTACCTCAAGGTTCGGTTTTGAGCCCTTTACTGTACAATGTCTATACGTATGATTTGGAGTCTTACATCGCAGGCAGAGCTAACATTTTACAATATGCGGATGACTTAGTTTTTTATGTATCCGGATCATCTATTATTGAATTAAGTCAATCTTTAAGTAATGTATTAACACTCTTAAAATCATGGTTACATAATAACTCACTGAGTCTTTCTGTTTCTAAAAATTGTGCCGTCTTATTTACAAGAATACGATCACCCCCATCATTTTCTGTACATTATGGTAATGACATAATTCCAGTGTGTAATGAAGCTAAATTTCTAGGAATCATTCTAAATTCCAAATTAACTGTTTTATCACATTGCTATTATGTATCAGCTCGATGTGAAAAATTATTAAACATTTTAAGATGCCTATCTGTGGTGTTTGGTGGGGAGCTCATCCATCAACACAAAAGTTAATATATAATGCTATTATCAGAAGTATCCTTGATTATGGAACTTGCTTTCTGGAGCCCTGTAGTGCATTAGCACTAAGTAAGTTAGATGGCATCCAGTCTAAAGCTCTTCGCATTGTAACTGGCGCCATGAAGTCAAGCCCTATTAATGCACTCCAGGTTGAATGTGTGGAGCCTCCTTTAAAACTAAGGAGACAATTTTTATGTGATAAATTTCTATTTAGAGCTCTTCTACTTTCTGACCACTCCCTTTTTAAAAAGTTACACCATTTATTGCGTAAAATTAATAATTCGGCATATTGGAATAACAAGTCGCTTCCTTGCTTGGTAATCAGCTACATTAAATTTACTTCACTGCTAGCACCCACCCACCGATCACAATATCTTCCTATTTTTTCTATTAATTATGAAGCTCTTACCATTTCACCCAAAGTAATTTATCTAGACTCTTTATGTAATGATAAAAATGCTAATATTATTCTAATGAGTATTGTTAATACAGAATGGCCAGACTGGCATTACATTTACTGTGACGCATCTAAACATCCATCTACTGGGATAGTTGGAATCGGTGTTTACCACCAACAGTATAAAATAACACAAAAAATTAAATTACCCCCAGAAACCTCAGTATACACAGGAGAATGTTATGAAAGCCTTAAATCATTAGAATACATTTTGCTTGCACAACTCAAAAAGACAATTATTTTTTCCGATTCCAAAAGCACTTTACAGGCAATAGAAAAATTTCCTTTTAAAGCTTCTTCCTCTAATGCTTATTTGATCGATTGTAGGAAATTATTACTGAATTGTACTTTGAAGAATCTAAATGTGCTCTTTGCGTGGATGGATACCTGGCCATCATAACATCACTGGCAATGCAGTAGCTGATAAACTCGCTACAGATTCAGTGAATTGTGGTGACGTTTTTCCCTATAAAAATTTAGTAAATGATCTTCTTTTACTTCCTAAAGTGCATCTACGCATATCTTGGGAAGAAAATTGGGATACTAGTAGTCGCATCAAAGGTAAACATTATAAATTAATTCAACAATGTATTCCCGATAAACCATGGTTTTCTAAAATTCATTTAAGTAAGTTTGCCACATCAAGTCTCATAAGAATGCGCCTAGGTCATAACTGTTCTTCTTCCCACCTGGCTAAACTGGGTATAGTAAATGATAATATTTGTGCTTGTGGTACTGGAGCAGAGGACTTAAATCACATCTTCCTCAATGATTCCTCCTCTTTTATGGATTCATTAATATCCCTTAATGTACCTCTCCCTACTTCTATTCCTTCCTTATTGTATTATAAAAATTATAATATATATAACAAGCTATCTGAATTCCTAACTAAACATAATATAAAATTATAAGTAATTTATTAGAAATAATGTAATGTATTTTATATATTTAAAAAGACCTATTACTTACGTTTCAAATAAATTTTACGTACTTACCTGATCCTAATCCTTCCAAATTCCGTTTCACAACCTTTTTATTTCATTATTTTGGTTTCCTTACCTTTTACCCTGTCGTGGCCAATGCACAAACCGTGCGAGCCATTATAATAATAAAAAAAAAGAAGGCGAGAGTTTTTCAGAAGCCTGCATTCACGCTTCACGGACGGAACAGAATAACAGATCGTTTCGGTGGTTCAAGTGTAAAGGTGTGGGGTGGAAATAGTATAATGGGCAAAACTGAACTTGTATTTCTGGAAGAAGGCACCGTTACTGCTGCCAGTTACATCGAGCGTGTAATCCAACCTCATGTCTTCCATTTAGGCAAAGAATCGGTGAAAACTTGTCTTCATGCAAGATAATGCCATTGCCCGCGCGCATACGGCTCGTATCACTCGGGAGAGCACTTTCAGAAGCCAATATTACGGTACTACCGTGGCCAGCCACGAGTCCCGACCTCAATCCTATCGAACATTTATGGGATCATTTAAAAAGAAGCCTTATGTCTTATGCCTGAAATTCAGTCATGTGAATAGCCGGACAAGACCTCATAAACGCCCTTAGTCTGTTGGGAGCAAATACCTACTGAAAACGTTATCCATTTAATCGAAAGCGGTCCAGAATACTAGATAGACTAAGAGAGGGCATACGGACCAGAGGAGGTCCTACTCGCTACTAAAACAGACAATTTTCATAAATTTGTTTGAAAATATTGTTAATATTCAAACTTTACTTTCTTAGTTAATTTGTGTTAATTTTCTTAGAAACTGTTATTACTGTGTAATTCATATAAAACTTTTAATTTTCACTGTTGTTTATGTTTACACAATTTCCAAACAACTCAATTAAAGAAATATAATTAAGTTAAAGGAAAAATATATTATAGTTGGAAAATGGAGGGCCCTATTTTGTTTTGAGTAGTTTATAAGGTTGACTCACCACAATCTGTAAACGGTAATCAAAGTACTAAAATAATGCATTATTTGCAAAGGTGTTTAGTCATGTACACAACAATAATTGTAAGTAAAAGAGTATATTTGGTAGTAATGGAATGAGTATATTTTACTAGGGTTTTATCTCAAAATTAAGCGAGTGATACTACAACACACAGCTCATAATGCATGTTGTGTAATTGCAAAGAAATCTGTATTACTGTACATTTTGCAATATTATCAGGTTCTTATACATTATGTAATTTATATTCAAATGGAAAGGACTGACCCAACTAACATAGTAGGGGGAGTGGGTAGGTAAGTACTCCATAATACAATCAAATTTTACTCTACAATCTTTATTATTATAAATATTAGTAATTTACATTATTTATTTACAATGACTGACGACAAATAACAAATTTTTATATCAAAGCTAATTTTCTAATGAAATAACGGTGCCACATAGCCGCAGTGAAAGCTGACAGTAAATACCAAGTCACAAGGTAGGACAAATGCTCATTTCTTAATGTTACTCGAGTTTGGTTTGGTATAGGCCACCCTTCTGGAGGATCATCTATGCCACGTACATCCAGCCATACAGGTGCACAATTTAGATATTGACTCATCTGCTCCAAGTCCCTGAAAACAGATAAACCATTTCAATACTTAAAACATTATCACTATAGTATCAGTAGTATTTTCATGCCCACTCCAGGCATACAGATGCTCACATGTGAGGCACTGGTATTTGATAATATTGTCACATATTTGATCATGTAAGTGTGCTTTGTCCCTCCATGTCGGTTTTAAGCACACACCAATCGATCAAAGTTCCAATGTATGTGTGCCTGTCACATTGTGCATTTTTTTATTTATTCAAACCAGTTGCAAGAGCATTGTCATGGAGAACTTTCATGGCTAAATAACCAAACAAACTAATGAGGAAGTGGAGTAACGAGAGCTTTTAGAGTGTTTATGTTCATTTATTTGCATGTAATATAAATTATTACACAGACATAAATGATATAAGCTAACTGTGTAGGTGAAGTTGGTTAGTGTAGCAGTTTATAACTGCTGTACCAGCTATCTTCACATTTGGACTTTATCACCACTTGACATCAGGTGGGGTAGAGTCATTTCGAGCCTACCTCGCTTTAAAAAAAACACCCATTATTTGTGAAGTCTATTTGAAAACTGTGAGCTCAAAGGAGAGATCAAATCTTTGAAAACATATCTGGCAGATACAACAATATGTATCCAACTGTGTGAGCAGTCTTGAAGTGATCACTTTGAACTCTTGGCATAAATTTAGCACTCACCTACAGTACCATGCACCCTTTTCTGGATTATTTTTGGGCATAAATGGTGCTCTCTTTTCAGACAGTCTAACAACTCCAACCAATTCTACTTCTCCTTTGATCATAGATGCTTCTCGTTTGCCTTTTGGTTTCAATTTAGTTGGCACCCATCCTCTGTTGATTAATATAACTTTCCTGTAAGAAACAGTTGCAAAAATTACTGTCAGCACTACAAAATAAGCATATTTGTTTATTCCAATTAATTTGTTCTAAAGCATTACAATCATTATGATTAAATGAATTGATATCATTAAATATAAACAGTAAGAACTCTTAAAATATGCAATTTAAAGCCTCAAATAGTGAATAAACATACCCTGAATCAGATAATCTAAATGGAGTTATAATTAGCCAACCTTGATTCTTCTTTGGATCAGAAACCAGAGACCCAACTCTAGCAGAAACAGAGTTATTTTCTATTAGGGCCCTTGGACCAATTATAATTTCCTTGTCATGCAGAAACACTCCCTTTACTTTAACAGGTGTATACTCCATTATCTGTAGTTGTTCATAGCTGGCAATACATTTAGGAAATATGAGGCATGATTTTTATTGCAGTTACAAACTCACTATATAACTAATAGTATTAAAAAGGTCTAACTTGTCGGGTAATGGTTTTGGAACTGAATTTGACTTTGCTTGCATAATATCTATTAGTTCCAACTTCCACTTTAGACGATACACCTGCCAGCAGCCTAGTCCAAACGAAGTCACTGGGATCATCTAAAAAGGAGATAAGCTGCTGTTTTTAAGATTAAAACCAAACATGCGCGGCTATTTTTTTAATATCTCACCAACAGTATCCATTTTAGGACTTCTAATGATTCTTTCTTGCTTTTAACGTTGCGAGATTTTATAATATTAGTAATATTTGTATTATATCTAAAAGTATTTTTATACACATTTTTATTAGCTGCTGATAACCCCAAATTACACAAGCGAGATAATTTACACAAACTTTTTAGCATGGTTGACATTTTATTTGTGTTATTGTTACAATGTAGATTGGGGTTCTTGTAATAAGTTCAAGTTAATTTTTTAATTGCACTGCACACAAAATTAAAATATTTCTGGCTTTCAATATTTGACCGATCTTCCAATCTTCCACCTAGCTAGGGATGCAACTATAAGAGTAAATACAAGTAACTACTCGATACTTTTTTTTCTATACCAAGTACTTTTGGCATCGTGAGGCTAAAGCTATTATTTTGTTTTCGTTAAATTAAAACTGTAACTGAATTTGTAACTGTAATATCGTTCGTCAAAATTTATTGATACAAGTAAGTATCGATTCTTCTCATTCGATACCGCAATGCATCTATACTTTATGACCGATGCAGTATCGAGTAAAAGTATCGATACCAAGATGGTATTGTTCATCCCTACTTTTTTTTCCTATCCCATTCTGGGAAGGCAAAGGATACTGTGCCCATACAGCCAATTCTTAAGTTTTATATTTCAGAATACATGTATACATGCTGTATTTATTATATATGCAGTAATAGAAGCTGTATTTCTTCTTTCTTGTAGCCGAAGCCAAGTCTTATTTTAGGTATCTTGTCTTCAAAGTACTTCTACTTCTTTCTTAGCGTTTTTCTTTTTTTAATATTGTCTTCTTTTGTTTTTTTTTTTTTTTTGTTGAAGTTCTCCCGTTTTAGGGAAGGCAAAGGGAACAATGCCCATACAGCCTGGTCTTTAATAAAATTAATCTTCTTTTTGTTTTTACATTAGAATGTCAGTGTGACGCATTCTAATGTTTCTTGGAGTGTTTGGCACGAAATGTATCGAGTTGGCTTTTTCGATAAGCTTCTGTGAGGTAGTCAACACTACAATAAAATTCTCACGTCCACTTGACCGGAATAGCGTATATTTTAACGATTCCACTAATTCTTCAGTTACGCAGACGGTTGTTACACAAAACCACACCAATTTTATTTCACAATATCCACGATGAACGAATTTAAGAATAATTAAAATAAGATGCCAAGCGCACTCGATGAAATCCCGCCAAAAACTGTGTCTTCTTTTGTGTTTTTTCAGTAAGGCCGAAGCCAAGTCGTTTGTGTATATGTCAAGATAAGTCATTGTCTCAAAAAAGGGCGCGAAATTGAAAAGTGAAGGCGCGGTTTTCAAATTTTTATTTATTTAAATTAGAAAAAAGCCCTTTTGATTTAATTACTGCTGCTCAAATGGGCAAATCAACTGGCGGAAGAGGATCTCCTATAGAGACCGCTCAATCTGAGGCTTTAAAGCGTAAAGGTGCTAATATAGATGATGATGACACTGTGCCTCAGGCCAAGCAACCAACTAAATTTGTGGCAGCTAGAAGAGGTTTGTTCAAGAGCTTTAGTATGCTATACAAAGATGAAAATACCAATAATTACCTATTACTTGTCAGCAAGACAGACAAATCTCCATTTAATATACTGCAAGTAAACAGTATCTTGAAAAATTTACCTGGTGTTCTTTATGTCAAGCAACTGGGAGTATCCTTCTTGAAAATTTTCTTTAAAAGTATGAAAGACGCTAATTCATTTCTGCTCAACAATGAACTACTTACTACTAACAACTGGTCAGCTAAAATTCCTTTTGATAATGTAGAGAGCCAAGGTCTAATAAGGGCTCCAATAGAACTCACTGATACAGATCTTTTAGAGAATTTATCTGCTTCTCATGAAATTATCGGAGTAAAGAGATTTATCAAGAAGAAAGAAGACGGTTCCATTATTCCTCTTCAATTAGTTTTAGTTACTTTTCACACCACACATCGTCCAGACCATGTCAAATATGACCACTTATGGTTTGATGTTCAAGATTATATAAAACCAATACCACAATGTTTCACCTGTTACAAGTTTGGACACAACAGGGGATCATGTAAGAGCAAACAAGTCTGTTCCATTTGCAGTGGAAATCATTTTTTCACTGAATGTACAAACAAAGAATCTATTAAATGTAGCAACTGCAATGGCCCTCATATAGCTGTTTCTAGATTGTGTCCTGTAAAGGTATCGAAGATAGAAGAAATAAAGCACAAAATATCTCGAAAAACATTTGCTTCTGTGGTATCAAGACAACCTCCCAAAATTACAGCTCCAGTTTCCTCACATACCAGTCCTACTCCTTTCGCATGGAGTCAGTATACTCCTTTGAATAAAACACCCCAAGGACAAGCTTTAGTAACTGATATATTAAATTCAGACACTGTTTTAAATGTAATCACTAAAACTGTTATAGACATATTGAAAAAATCACTAAACACAGACGGGTAGTTGTGACCTTAGTAATAATTCAACAATTTCATCTAAATCAATTAAAGATCTCCTCATAAATAACTTTGCTTAATAATATGGATAGTAGAGTTCTTTATGAGCAGATTAACATAATGCACTGGAACTCCCGTAGTATTTTACCTAAATTGGACCAACTTAAGCATTATCTTAGTAATTGTAGTAAACACATAGATATAATTCTTCTAAATGAGACTTGGTTAACTTGCTGCAAAACATTAAAAATTCCTGGTTTTACTATAATCCGTAGAGATTCAGATCAAACTCACAGGGGTGTAGCTGTAGCAATTAGAAATAGGTACAAATTCAATGTTATTAACACATACTCTTGTTATGATTTTCAAAATATTTTAATTCATATTGAGTCTGGTTCCTTTAAAATGCATATTTTGTCTGTTTATAGTCCACCTCCACCTAATGGGAAAATGCAAATCAAGCACTTATCAGATGTTTATCATAACATTAATTCTCAAAACTTTCTAAAAATAGGTGACTTCAATGGTCACCACTCATCCTGGGGATGTAGGAACAACGACCGGAGAGGTAATTTTATCCACTCATTTGCTGAAACGTGCAATTTAGTATGTTTGAATGATCACGAGATAACGACTCTTCCTCCTCATGGGCAGACAGGTAATATTTTAGATTTGGTTTTTGCATCTCCCTCGTTAAGCTCCAGCTGTAAATTCTCCGTTTCCGATGACCCCTTCAGTAGTGATCATTATCCAGTACTAGTAGAAGTAATTTTAGGGGACGGTTCTCGTCCACTTCATAAGCGAACATTGGATACTTCTAATCCAAGTCGTCCTTATTCTCTCGCGGATATTAATTATAAGAAAGTCGACTGGTCTGAATTCTCTAAGAAATGTGAAGCAATGTTTTTGGAATTTAAAATGACCGAAGACCCTGTATTAGATTATTCTAATTTCGTTAGTAATGTAAGTGAAGTTTTGTTTACATTTCCGATGAAACAGTGTTACCAACCCTTACCAAAATTTACCCCTAAGTATTTTTTAAAATCCCCTAAATATACAATTTTTTAAGTACCAACTTATTACCCAAATTCTTTCGTTGCTCATAAATTAAAACGTTACTTAATTAGTTGCAGTAAATTATTTTATTGAATAAATACAGCTTCCGAAAGGAAAAGTAAACGAAAATCAGCTGACAGACTGTTAAATCTTATTTATTGAGCTGTTTTTTTAACTTTAGTCCATACAGCCTTAGGAAACAACCCGCCACACAGTCATTTCAGTCGTTTCATATCGTGGTGCGTTCCATTCTACGCACAAAACTGAAAGAAAACACACGCTTTGTTTTATGATTTAATTGCAAGTTTTGATAAAAAGCCCCTAAAAAAACCCCAACAAATTCTAGCCCCTAAAAAAGTCCATTTTAACACTTGTAGCCCCTAAATCTGGGGGCAAAACCCCTAAGTTGGGAACCGTGCGATGAAATACTCCCGGTGTGACAAGTTTTCAAACCGTAAAGCTACCATTTGGTGGAATGATTCTTGTAGTAAAGCTGTTACAAAGGCTAAAATCACTCTCCTTTCATATAGAAAATATCCTAGTTTGGAAAACTATATAATTTATGTGGCCAAGATGTAGGAGCTGTACATACCTACTTGATTGTACATTAAAATGATTTCAAATTGACCAAGATTACTTTTAAGCATACTCATGAAATTGTATTTTTTCTTGCACAATTAGTCACAGAAATAAATTAGTGTTTTTACAACATTCAAACGGTTCGGTTTTATTTAGCACTCCTTGGAGTAACCCTACCCATAACAAGCATCAAGTGTGGGAAGCAACCCCCACACCATCAAAATTACTACTGTTACCAATGCTTTTTATATTAACATGCAGAATTTTCAAAGTATTGGTCGCATCAGGCAGATAATTAATAGAATTTTCCGGCGAGCAAGTATACGAGCTACCAACAGATATAAGGTCCAATTCTGAATTTATTTTTAGGCATTCAGCCATAATCAGTTTTAATTTTATAACAGTTTATATACGAACAAATATAAATGTGTATATAATATGTCTCTGATAGTGCAGTCATTGAAGCGAAAAATACGGCCTTACCTCCGATATTTTTTACTGTGAACCAATTTGCATAAAATTTTGGAATTAGGCTCATCTTACCCTTAACTTCAAAAGTGAAAATGATCTGAACTCCGCCTATTATTTTTAAGGGGTGTAAACAACCACTTAATGGAAAGAACAATGCCCACTGCCCATACATTCGAAAACCTGTCACTTCGGTTTTTACTTTATGGATGTATATTGACTGTTGAGGTTGTTAACTAATTATTACAATCTACTGAAATAATGTTGCTAATTTGGTTTGATTTGGCAATGAGGAATAGAAGTTATAACGAAAACTAATTCTGAGGTTATTCAACTGCTGAAGATGTCATTTACTTACTCTGTGGTTACGAGATTGATTATAGATTATCTAATGCCGGAACTTCACTTGGCTATTTGTAAACTTGACAACAGTCTGTCCTTATCATGTTTTAAGGAAAGAAAAGGACAGACTGAAGTCAAGTTTACATGAATAGCCAAGTGAAGTGCCAGCATAAGATTATTCATTTGTGTGCTGTCACAGCTGTGGTGTCTTGTATTTATTTCAATTCGCTTGTTTTGTTTGATTGAGGCTTGATCTGAGGATTGAAGAAAAAAGGATTAATATCATAACATGTATCATGCTGAGGTGTCATCCTTATAATATTGTCTTTGGAATTAAACAAGTTTTTTTTTATATTTAATCAATAATTCAGTTTCAATTATTTTATTGAAATAGTAGGTACTTAATGTCTTAGTTTCTACAAGCGAATGAATAA